TAAATAACTTCTGGATGTCTTCTTTGCCTTTTTTCTTGTTATTTTGAATTGGAATTCGTTCATTTTTAGGTATCAAGATCGCTTTATTACTTAAAAATAGATAGCTCTTCACACAGAACAGGCTTGTGGAAATGCGGGTTGGCCACTCCTTATTCTTGCAGTTTAATCACTTATGTCGCAAGTGGCCATTACTTGGGTATTTTCAAGGTAGAGTTTTGTGCCCTTATCTGGAAGTAAGAGTATTGTTGTTATTGAGTCACCCTTAAATTCTTCATTTTATTGTTGCTCAAAACTAAAGTTTAATGCTGGAACTGAGGAGTTATAAATGTATTTTAGAATTACATTTTATGGACATCTCTTTCACCCCAACTTTTGTCCTCTAGTCTAACAATGTGCGAAGTGACAGACTGTCGGAATGGGTCGTTCATGAGGATTGCTAATTCTGAAGGCTTTGGTGCCTTCCTCGTTAATGATTCATATATTCAGCCTCCAAGTAAGTAATGTAACGCAGCTGTTACCTTGATTGAGTGTAGTATTGAACAGGTGCCATATTATTTTGGAGTGACTTTTTCGTTATCTTGAAGTTTTCAGACTCATTTATATAATCAGGAAAGTTACAGTGGTAAATAACAAAAGATGCCGCTAATTATAGGAAAACTGCCCAATCCCTGCTTTTACAACAATGGAGGATGCTCACATTTTTGCACTCTTATTCCCGAAAAGCCATGGCGTTCCTGTTTGTGCCCAATAGGATTGAAGTTGCTTGATGATGAAATGACATGTGCAGAAAGTATATTTCTTTTCCACCGAAGTTTTTTTACATACATTTCTGTGTGGCTTCTAAAGTCTAAAAGAATTTTGGTGAATATTTTTTGATTTCTTCCTCTCGCTTTGACTGCATAATTTTTTTCATTTTTCACTATCCTGCATCAACTCAAGCACTTTTCCAAATTCTATTTTTAAATTTCTCTCAAGTGTGGGCTAACCTTGAACCTACATTATAGTAGAGTTTATTTTGAAAACACATCCACCACGACGTCAAGTTTTGGGTAAATAAAGGACGTTGTAGTCTTAATGCAACTTGACTGTGTTCTAATACTCCATTATTGTTCGCCGGCAGAAGAGTATCTGTTTTTTTCATTTATTTTCTACTCTTCTGCTTGGAGAAGGAGAGGAAAATGCTTATTTACCACGATATTTAAAGCTAGCAGTGCCAGTGAAAACTCGAATTATTAGTTCTGAAAAAA